GGTAGACTACAAAGTCTACGAGCTACAGCAGCACCGCTACCTCCGCTGCTGCAGGACGCCACACTCTGTGATTTTTTACGTAGTGGTCTACTTGCTTTGGCCAGCTTGCGGGCACAGAAACCTGATTCTTTGCCTTTGAAGAAAAATAGGCGAGGGGTGCTGAACGTGTATAGGTGAGAACAGCTTTCAGCAAGAGGTCAGAACATTATTTCAATACAAGACAACGCCAAAAAGGACAAAAGCAAGTCAAAATCACATGCTACACGGGTATAAAGGAACACTATCGACTCGGAAGTATTTCTCTCCCCGAATACGAACCTCTAGGTCTGATGGCAAACGGGGGTTCGGCTTATTCTCCCCCCTACACCCAATGCCAACGAGTCCTACCAGTACAGTCGTGGGCCCTCAAACGGGCGGGTTGTACGGGGAAGAATTCTGTGGATTGAGCGGGTGAAATATCACTTGGTGATACACTTTGAAAAAGGCGGGTGCCAGCTATAGGGCGGGTGAATCGTCTTGCCACCTACCCGCCATTGTATCGTGACCCTCTGCAACTATTCTGCATCCAAAACAAAGATAGCCACTAGAAGAAAAAATTATCTACATCCATCTGTGTGACTCACCAGGGCTGCCGCCGTTCCTGGGCAGGCGAACACAAATTTTTGCACAGGCCGCCCGCCGCCGTCACACAGCTTCTCGCGCAGCAGCAAGGGACACACGTGGAATGATTGGAGCGGGTTCCTCGTCCTCGCCACCCTGCGCGGAACTCTGAGCGTGGCCGACCGCAAGCCAAACACAATGAGTCGCGTCGAAGGAGGGAAGTAACATGAGTTAGGTCGGTGGGGTGACGAGGGGTCGGGTGAAACCGCACCATGCACGGCCGTGGTATTCCGATTGAAAACCCTCGCACCACCACCACACGTCGGGGACAGAGGTTGTACCGATGGAGGGGCATTAATCAGGGAGAGTTACACGAGAGGGCGGTCGGTGTGCGTGTGTTTAGTTCGGTCTAATAAGCGTCAAGATCTCGCGGTAGCGAGCGCGCGATGCCCCAATACCTTGGTCCAAACATTTTCTGTTGTTCGTATCCATCATCTCAAACTAACGGTAGCTCGCCGTTACAGCCAACCTTCGGCAGACTGAACAATAAAAGATCATTACAAATGTTGATCCAACACCCCTTGTCACAAATTACGTCAATTAGCACGCGGCTTCGTGTAAACATAGCTCTATCTCAGGGTCTCGCAGAAACCCTTTGCTGTCCAGAACCTGCGTACGTCGATGGACCTCCACGAAGAATTCGGGATGGACTCACAGTACACACGACCTACTTGATTTTTCTCGTTTCTCGTACTGATAAATCTGTAGATTGTGTCGGCCCCCCCAAATTCCCGCAGTTTGATGTCACACCAAGATTCAAAAGGTTTGAACTCTCATATTTGCCCAGGTCCCTGAAAATAAGAGATACCAACCCTTCCATGTGCGATTTGGACCTACCTGACGGAGGACTACGATCTCGGCCGGGAGCGATTGGAACAGAGGAAACAAAGAGGTGTGGAGAGCCAACCGCGGTCAAACCACCCAAGAGTACCCCACAGCAGTGCCGACAGCTCCTAGTTTCAGTCCTCCCGTATTTTATGCCACATGACACCTGTGTGGAGTCGCTCTCATCACCGCTGTCCCCCCAAAACTCGATCTGTGAACCCAGTCGCTTGAGCATGCGCGCCCCCGCGGCCTTGATAACGACGGCCGGCTTCTCCGGTAGCGCGGGCTGTCACGGAACAGCACAACGACAAAAACGAAAAGCATGACGTCAGCAAGCTATAGCCGCACCGCCATTCGTAAAAAAAGGGAGCTTCAGTGTACCCTCCCACAAGGATGGCCAAGAAACAACTTTTGTGTTGGATAAAAGGGACGGCAGTGCAAAAGATAGGTACACCAAGTCTACCACATCACTTCTCACGCCGGAACTTCTCACGCCGGAATAAACAGGCTCCTTGTAAAGTAGGGGGGTATCTTTCACCGGTGTAGGCATTTTTGCCACCATCTGTGCAGCAGTAGCAGCAGCAGCAGCAGCAGCAGCAGCAGCAGCAAAAAGGAGCAAGCAGCGCACCAGCCGGCCTCGCTTACTCTCTACAGCTAGAGCCACCGCGCCGATGCACAGGGATTGCCGCTAAAACCGGACTTGGTACCACAATCGCGTCGTGGACCATCACCCGGCGTCCCCAAACTTGTCGCAGCTACGTAACGCACCTCCATCGGACGGGAGCTGACAGCTCGATCCAAGGCCAAGGGGCCGACCAGAGCCTTTGGCTTGCCTTGCCACCTTGCACCACTGACAGTAGACACGGGTGCCGTTGCGCAAAGCTTGAGGACCGCTGCGTCGTGAGACGGTCACGTCAGCGGCGCTCCCTACGCCGTTGCAGTCGCCCCCGGGGCTGCCGTGCGCCGATCCGTTCTCGCCGACGAATCACCCCCTGCCGCGGGCGGAGACCAGGCGTTCAGGATGGCGGAGGCCTCCGCAGATAGCCTGACCGCCGATCCCGCAGTCACGGTCGTCGACGGTTCCCCTGATCCCCCGGCGGCAGCTCGGCCGCCTTGCTCTTGCTGCTCTTCGGGATTCCGACGCTCACGCGACGGCCGAGACTACTTTTCCCGCTCATCCTCCCGCCACCATCGGAGCCGCTCTCGGTAGAGCCGCTGCACGACTTGTTCGTCGTCCTTCCCCTGACGGAAAAGCTTCTCCCGCCGCCGCTGCCGCCGCCGCCGGAAGAATCGGCTCTGCCGGAATAACTATCGTCGCTGCAGTTGCTCTTTCCGGTGTCGTCGTTGTCGAGGAAGGACGCCGGATGCCCAAGGCTGGCGGTCCGCTCGCTCGCGGGCGTGGACGCCCGGGAGGAGCCGCAGTAGGCGCGGGGAGTCGCGGTTGCTGAGTAGAAAGAAGCGCGGTGGGCGACGGAGCGGGAGTTCCTGCGGGTGGCAGGCGTCGCCGGAGCGCTGCATCGGCGCTGCTGCCGTCGCTGGCGGCGCCGGAGCTAGTACATCGATGTCGTTACTCCGATGTTCGTCGGGTGGGTGTGTAAGAAGTAGGGCGGGCGGTAAACCGATCTCCCACGCTATTTGACGAAAGTGTACCGCTTCCATGGAAGTATTTGGAAGCGATATTATTCTCTTCGACGGAACTAAAGATGTGAAACGTGGACGTGCCGCTTCCACAGAAGTCGGCTTCCACGGAAGTCCCATGGAATCCCCATGGAGCAAGCGGAATAACAGCTTCCATGGAAGTTGAACCTTAGGCTTCCATGGAAGCTATTCACAACAGGTTTCGGGCAGCTTCCATGGAAGGAAATACTCAGCCTCGGGATAGCTTCCATGGCAGTCCCCTTCGGGGTTAGGGCTGTTGGGGTAGGGTGTTAGGGGTAGGGTAAGGGGAGGGAAGCTGGAATGACCACATTCGTGCCAAGACCCTTCCGTGGACGTTGCTTTGGGTTAGGGTTAGGGGTAGGAAGCTGGAATGACCACGCGGCCATAAGATTCCTCCGCGGAAGTTGCTTGATGGAGGTTTCGGTTCCTCCACGGAGGAAGTCGCTTTCGACCTCTGCCATCTACTTCCATCTTCGATGGAAGTTGCTTTCACGGTAGTTTTCGTACTTCCATGAAAGTAGCAGAGACTCTATCGAGCGACGAGCTTTCAGTGCTACTTCCATAGAAGCTCGTTGCACTTCCGTGGAAGTCCGAAATGCGACTTCCGACTTCCGCGGAAGCAACGAGCGGTTGATATCGGGTGCTTCCAAGAATACTTATCAACTTCCATGGAGGAAGTGGATTTACCTCCATGGAAATTGTTTACCGTTTCCATGGAAGCATCATTGAAGCTGGAACCCGAAACAGACGAACAGTTTCCATGGAAGCCGTGAAACATCTTCCATGAGAGCCATCGAACTTCCATGGAAGTCAATTTCGACTTCCATGGAAGTGACAGACAGTAATTTCCATGGAAGAGGAGGTACAAACCACCGGCTCAATGGAAGCCAATTACGACTTCCTCCATGGAAGCTTATTCCATTTGTCAAATAGTGTATTATAGATAGATACCCCTCGCCGCCGCTCACTCTATTGTCAAGTACGACCGAACTGAAACATCGCCAACAACTCAAAAAGATGTGTGTTCAAATCCCCTCTCCCGTGGTCCTTCATTTCATGCCACCACTAAGTGCGTTGTGCTATGTACTCCGTACTTTTCGATCTCGCAACACGTTCCGCGCGGCCTCCGGCTCTCCCCCGCCACAGATCGACCCCGCGTCGACACTTCCAAGGGGAGGGGTCCCCAAACTCTTGTACAATAATAATATTGTTTGGCAAACATTCGATTTGATTGAGTCGTGCTCCCCGCGTAAGGGGGTTGTCGCAGTTTGGGGTTCATGTGTGTCTGTGTGTTAAAATAACATACAAACATATTTTTCTCAGAGGACCGTCACATGATGAGATACGGCGCGGGAGAGGTATGAAAGTAGAGAGAGCAAAATCTGACGAAAGCATCAAGGCCTGTTGCGAGAGAAGGAGTCATCTGTGCATCCACCCCGTCCACCGGGCTCGATTGGAGAGGTGAAAACAAACGTTTCGTTCTTGGCAAGTTGATGTATCATGTCCTTCGTTCATTTGATAAATGGGCTAAGCCTTCAGTGCCCACAGCTCCACGCGAGCCGTAGCCTAAGCGTGTGGGAGCCGTCACGAAGCAGAAGCTTTGTCTGGAATATTTCCAGAATCACCAGGAAAATCGCCAGCCATCAACATGACATCATCATCCCCTTTTGTTGAAAATGCCTCGATTTTGGCAATATGTACACGGATTCCGAACGAAAAGCCTACAATTACGCAAGCATGTTGGAATAGTTACACATTATCAGCAGGCTCAGCATTGTAGCACACATCACACAAAATTCTTCCTGTACTCACCTACACCCCCCCGAGGTCAACAGCCAACGAAATCACACACAGAATATATTCAGCATCCAGAGCAACAAAATCACCGTGTGCATGAACCTGGGGTCCATGAGGCGACAGAGCGTGTATTGGACAACAACTACAGCCTTGGCTAAGAAAATCGAACAAGAATACCCTAGGGTATACAAAAATATTTGTAACACACGAATGAGGTACCGGAGTTGCAACCTGCATATAGAAAACTGCAGAAACAATCAGACGTTCACTGATTACAGGCGCCCGGTACAAACGCTATCCTAAGTTGGTGTGATGTTTTCTCCATTGGCGTGTAAATTTTCCTAATCTTCTTATGCCTACCTCGGCAAGCCTCCCCGAAATCGCGCTAGATGTATTGCGGCATAATACCGACCACCAGACCAACATGGAACAGCCTCACACTTTTAGAGCAGCCTCGCACTTTGAAAGAGGGTCACTCCCTTCTAGATCCATTCCTTGCTATTTCTCGCCACCGATATTCATGTACAAGAACCCTTTCGAAAGTTCTCTAGGCGAGATGCCACTTTCTACACACCCTACAAAGTATTCCCTGCACTGTAGCATTATCCTAACGCATTGGTACGACGGAATCGAATCATCGCTGCTGGCAACAACCTACCTACGGAGCACCCAGGAGTCAACGAGCTCCACTTCCGGTAAAATGGGCAAACCACCAACGCCACGGAAGATAGTCTCCACGAGTGGTTACACAAGAATATCCAAAATCCAGCTTCTGGTCGGCCTTCCCTTCCTCCGAATTCAACAAGCTGGGGTCAGAACATGAAACAGAGCAATTCATCGACTGCAACAAAAACGACGACAACAGAAAACGACCAACCTACCCACACAATCTCACTGGCCGGTGAAGAGCACCGAGAGGGGCGTGATGGGCAGTAAAAAGGGTGTAGAGCGCGAACGCCCGAACACATATTAGCCCTCATGGCGAACAGGTCCAAGAGAAAGCACCTGCCAGTCTAGGGCTGTTCGACATCAACAGCAACCAGCAACCATCCAGAAGTAAAATTCATGTTGTGAGTCAAGAAGTTAAAACAAAGACCGAATACACAACAATAAATGGTTTGCCCCCCTCTTCATTTTCTCTAGCCCCTCATACTCCGCCTAAACTACGTAACATTTTGTGCAATTGGAGACCTTATACTCCTTAAAAACCCATCGAGACACAAATCCATGTATGCTCACACGGGTATCTCGAAACACAACAAAAACCCCGACAAATATAATCCTCGTGGTGCTATCAAATCCCACGACGTGCTGCCTAGACCAACTCAGCAAAATTATACACGTTCTCGTTAAAACGACACTTCTGCGGTCTCCGTGACGCCTGACACGGTCGTCGTCACCACCGTCTGCGCGCCCGACCACGCGGCCCCGTCGTTGTGTACCTCGAAGTGGTTGTCGGTGGTCCTCATGGCCGACTGCCCGTCAACCGTGAGGCTCACCACCGGAGTCGTGGTACCGCGTGGCTGCACCTTCCAGTAGTATGGGTTAGCGGAAGGAGAAACGAAGGATGTTTCCTCTCCAGGGCACGCGACAAACTTCCACTCGATGTCCCACCTCCCGTCGCCGGACATGGAGAAGTCGAGGTCTCCCTTCTGGCACTCGGGGCATCTGAAGCAGAGCCAGAGAGTGGACGGGAACAATCAATCAATCTCTCTTGTCTACTTGGCGAAAGACATATCCATCCCTGGTTTCTAGACTAAATGTTTTTCATTTTGTCCCTTGTAGCAATATCCGAGAGGGAAGACCGAAAAGTGCAACACAGGACACGCGCCATCACCAGTCATGGTGTTTGCTGGAGGAACAAGCGACGACTCGCTACAGTTACAAGTAGTTGTTCGTGCCCTCTTCTCGCTTACTTGTCCGTGATGAAAGCCTTGAACGTGGATGGGATCGGGTTGTTGCTGGAGCCGCTGCCGCTGGCAGTTCCCTCGACACATGCACCACACATGAGCGAATCGCCGTACTGCTCCGCGTTGAGGGCGACTGGAACCCGTGCAGCAGAACAGGATGGTTTAATCGTTGGGGGAAGGCAGGGGGCACGAGGGGAAAGAACGGGAGCACGAGGGGAAATTTTATATTCAGTCCGGCGACGAATAAGAATATGGCAGCCAAAGGTGTTGAGAAGGGATTTGATAGTGTAACGAAAGCCGGACAATCTCTCGCTCGTCTTGACACGCTTACTGTTGTTTCAAAAAAATAACAACTGAAACAGAACGGATGCAAATGGTACACACCTGGAATCATGCCATCGTACATTTCCGGGACATCGTCGAAGAAGGAGCACATGCCTGCCGTCGTGTGACCATAGTATGTTGCTTCTCCGCTATATTCCTCTCCATATTGTCCGCCACTGAAGCTCGGCGTCGGCGAGGGCCCTGCACATTTTATGGAGAAGGGAAACATGACAAAAACTAGTTAGCATATTCACCCACGGCGAGCCGGTGTCTGGCATTCAAAATTCCAGCGACGCCAGCGCAGTTGACCAAACGTTCGCAACGAACGGACAGAGCCATGATACGACCGTACCAGGCTTCCGCTATCGGTTGTTCATGATTGGACGAGTATGATGGGCGAAAAAACTTGGGTCGGTGGTGTCTACTGGTGGGCTAAAGTCGAGAGTCTTGAGTTTACCGTCGCTGACCTTCTTCGTCGATAATGCAAGGGGCTGATCCGGTTTCGCTGCACAGTCTCCCGGAAGCCTTGATAGCATTGCCGCAGCAGGAATCGGCGCCGAGGCCGTTCTCAGAGCCAAATGCAGTGCACCCTTCCCCCGCACACCGCCCGCAACCCAGCGGACAACATACCACGCCGTTGCCGTCGATGCCTTCGATGCCGTTGGTGCATGTATCGCCTGCATTCACATAAAGAGAGGAAACGGAACAAAATTCAATATCATAAAGAGACGTCAACGAACAACCCAGCGGCGCGGGTTGAATCGAAAATCTGCGTGAAACATCAACTCCCTACGACACTTTACGCTGCGCGCTGAAGTTTTCGTCAGACAGGTTTTGCAGTTGTTGATGTTCTTTGTCAACGCTCATACACCAGGGGGCGATTATGATCCTTTGCAGGGATTGTCGGTTTACTTGTTCTGCATGTATCGAACCCATGTTGTGAGTTCGTGAAGGGCGAAATGCACATTGTGTGAAGTTACGCCTATGTTTCCACCTATGCTTAAGCACCGCTGCTCGATGTTTCGAGGCCGCTCAACCGAGTGGCCCCGAGCGGTTCTTGTGGCCTTCCCTAGAGTATTCTTCATGGGCGGTCCAAAAACAAAACATGGTAGTCTATGCATACTGCAGTACATATGGAGCTCGAAGGAGAGACTTGGACGTTTGATGCCGACACCCACTTGATAGCGACTCAACCATGGAAAGGTAGACCTAACAACTATGGGGGCGGTGGGCTCCGTGCACAGGACGCTCTCGGAATTCCTCATGTATGTGCGCATGATATGCACATACTGCAACTGGTCCACCGATCTGTGACTGACGGTAATTCCAATGTCGCAAATGTTCACCTTGCACCACAACCGGAAGCAACATCACCGGTAGTAGCAGAACAGATTCCCACGAAAGCTTCATTATATCGCACACCCCCGGGTCGACTCGACTTGTCTTGGTAACGCTCTGCCACGGCAAACAGGAACGATCGAGCACCATCATCGTCAGCAGAAAGTCCAAACAGCAAAAAAAGTACGCAGGCTATACTTTAAAACAAGGCTGTTTGGGATGGAGATTTTTTACGGCTGGGGCATCACAAAAGGGGGTGGTGGCGTCTGACACATGGTTCGTTCGAGCAACACGACCAACATCTTCGGCTATCCTGCGAAAAGGCGAATGGCTCGGGAAGAAAGGTCCAAGTTTCTGAACGTCGCCCGCTGATGAATCCCTGCAGTGTTGCTTGTTTGGCCATGGAGCAAGGGAGTCAGTCAGCTTCAAACAAAATTGGTAAAATGAAAACGCCGAAACAGCCTACAACGAAGAGAGAGCCTTTGAAACCTATTTTTGTA